ACACAGGCACTTAGCCATTTTTAATTATATATGTCTTGCATCCCCGGGCAAAATAATCCCACTGTGCATTCGCTGTAAGTGTATCAACACGAGCTGGACACTATTTACAGACATAGAGCTGCGCTCCCTCGGTTGAAGGGAGGGCGTCAGACCCTGAACCCGAACCGCGGCATCTCATGAGAGAACCAACATCAGATATATTCAGCCCCTCTCTCTCTCTCTCTCTCTCTCTCTCTCCATCCGCACCATAAATAAACCGCGCTCATTCCGGAGTCAGCGGGTACGGGCGGCGTGTCACAGCTGTTTGGAATAGCCGCGTCTCTTTTGTAAAGCTCTTAGTGTAGGTGGTGTGTTTATCCCACCGGTCATGCTGAGGCAGCCACCACGGGGGCCTCGGCCCTCCTCGGTGGAGTGTTTGCTGAGTTTGCCCACGCTACGCTCTCCGCCGTGCCCGGTCTCTCTCCGTCTCTCTGTGCAGCATCTTCACGGGGGAAACATACAGAGAGGGGACATCATTTTCGCTAAATCACAGAGCAGACATGAGCCTCCCGCCCTCCCTCCCTCCCCTCGGGCAAATTCTTTATCGCAGGCCGACGGGGGAATTATGAGGCGAGTCCAACGGCGTGACTGGTCCATAATGAGCGCAGGCAAAGCAGCCAGACAATAAAACCTCAGCCAGGGTAAAGCGACATTTCACTGCAGAGCCCCTGATAAGGGGATGGAATCTCGACATTGGTCCCCTTGTCTTAGAAGACGGGTGATTGATATTCCGGCAGGAGAACAATAAGAAGTTTCTACAGCTCAATGCTAACCTGCGTAGCTCGGCGGAACGAAAAGCGCGTCCCCCTCTAGGTGACGTCTCTAAAACCTTTTGTGAACCCACAGCAGGACATTTTAGATCAATTATCATCTCGAGGAGTTTATCTGCGCTGACTAAATATTTAAATGAATGCAAATGGTACTCCCACAAAGGGTCGTGGCCACGGGATCTGTGTCCTAGTCCCACTCAGCACTACCTAGTGTTTATGTAAATCATTCTTCAAAGCTGGTTTGCTCATTACAATTCTTCGGTTATTGGATGCAGGTTACAGAGGTTCCTGTAAACATATTTCTCCTTCTTTTTATAGCTCTGTTCGGTCCCCGTGTCACCGCTTGTTATTGTCCACTCAATAAAAAGTTAGACGAAGCCATTAAATCCAAATGCTTTGGAATTGTGCATTTGCCGAGTTACTATTTAATGGGGAAATTTAACTGAGAACATCAAGTCAAATACTGCACAGTTAAGTGCACGTGTGAGGGACCGGTCGTATGCCTCTATAGTATGATGTACGATATATATAGTAATTAAAAAGGATAAATAAGTGGGTTGCCTAAAAAATATCCAGCAAGTTCATTTGTAATCAAAATGGTCCGTACAAGGTGATGTCTTTTTACGTCTTGCGCCAAAAACAGCATTTTATGTCTATGATTAAATGATCAGCATAATAGTTGCGGATTAGTTTCTTAGCAGATCTACTAATCGATTTGTGTATTCATTGTTGCAGACACATCATTGCTATTGCACATCTCAATTGTATTAACTCGTCTGATGGCTGTGTGCGGGAACGATGCACTGAACAACAGCAGAGAGACATAATAATCATCTGCTGTCGCTGCGTGTCTTTCTAACGCCCGACGCTCCATCGCCTGCTGTGTTTTAGTGTTGTGCTGAGGACGACAACACGGTTCATTAGTAGGGCTTTTAAACCTCAACCACCCCCTTCAAGTGCCTCTTCCCGCTCCTCCTTCCCAACATTATCATTGGTGAAGCAGCAGAAGATGTCGGTCCCACTGCTTGGTCAGTAAGATGGATGTCCTGCACTTTACCGACAGCCGATATTCCATTATATCAACCAGCAGCCACCGTCTCCTCCCCTGAATCATTGCCGGCCCTGCTACTCGCCTCAGCATCAAATTGGCTTAGCCAGTAAATGAAGGATTTGAATAATACATTCCACCTATCTGACTCCCTTTCTTCTCACTGGACTTCATTTAGTGACATTATAATCTCCTCATTTGTAGCGGTTCCTCAAGATTTACATGAAGCATTACCACCCTCTCCAATGCAAAACAAGTCATATGGCCCGATATCCAAAGCAGAATGGCTGCCATCTTAATCTTTCTTCATTCTGCATTACAGCTGTGGGAATCTATATTTTAGTAACGTGTGCATGCTCTTAACTGGATTAAAACCTCTAGGAAGAGTTGGGCTGGTGGTCTCTTTTGCTCCTATTTAGCAATAGCAAAGTGATACAAAAGTGACCGCAGGAGTCAAGATTACTTTGTTATCAGTCTGTCAATTGATTTTCAGGGAAATCCAAAATTTAAATTTAGAGTTTTAGAGTTTCTGTGACAATTCAGGAACAAAACCACATACAGTATTCGTAGAATAATTTAGTTGAACTTGAACTACTCAGTCAAACAGACTTGTGTGGGCTGAGTGAGTTATTATTAGAATTGCAAATACTCTTCAAACTTTGGTAGGCGTAGTGCTAAAATGTGATGCTACCTAATATGTCTATCTATTTGACCTCCATTACTAAAACAGTGTGAGAAATCTTGAATAAAAGTAAAATATCTATTGCTGGGTGTATATAATATCAATATCTACCAACCCATCGCGTTATGCCACGGCACTGCACGATTGCAGACATAAAAACAAATATATTCCCAGATATAAAAGTACCTCCCACTGTGCGTAATAAATGATCAGTTTATTAGAAACAGAGAAAGCAATATGCAATAGGAATCAACATGCATTAAAGCAATCATACCCACAAGGTACATTCAGCCGGGGAGGTTCATTATGAAAGTCCATCAATCTGTTGTGCTTCCTCGTGTTGTATCTGAAGAGAAAATAAAGAAGCAATGAAAAACAGAAGAGCATACTAATGCATTTTCTCAAAATCCTTGCATGTTGCATGCAAGGATTTCAAATCAAATTATAATAAATCAAAAAAATAAATCATGTAGCTGCTCAAAAGACCAATGAGACGTTTGGCTGTGACCCTTTTCTTGCTTTAAATGTGCGTTGCGGCCGCGGTGTGTGCGCGCGGGTTCATGCGGCTCGCCGCGGGGACACTGAGCAGCGTGACACAGTGTGTCCCTCATTCTGAGGGCCGTGACTTCCTGCAACGCCACTGCTGCAACGAGACAAGGCGCTGCGCCGTCTCCGTGCCAGGTCCTCGCAAAGCCACTCGGGCCCCCTCAGAGGGGAGTATATCTGGAGCCCCCCCCCCCCCCCTCACCCCACCTCCCTCCGAGCGACGTCATCACAGAGGACATCAGGCTGCACTCTCCACGAATTACACCTGGGACTGCGTCCACGCAGGGACAGACAACGTGGGACGTCGTTTTACCAACAAGGGAAATGGTCAAAGGAATGAACTTTTTCTTGGGTTTTTTATTTTCTATTCAAGAAGGGTCACCTTGCCATAAACTTCTTTAAATTGTATTTAAAAAGGAGGTTAAAGAAACACCCAAACGCCTGCATTTACACCATCCCCCATTTATCGAAAACCCCCCCACAGTGTGCGGGCACCACGTGTTTGGGTATTTGTATTCTGCAGGTTTCTCTTTTTTCAATAATTCAACATTGATGTGTATTGATTTTCTTTCTGAGGGACCGAGGCTTGACCCCTCCAGTGAAGTATGGTCTACGTCAACCGCTGCCCCCCCCCCTCCTCCTCCATTTAATCCTGAAATTTACACACTCTACTCTCACTGGGTTGCAGTTTTTACCCTAAATGGTTTTCATTCAGAGTGATACTGGCACCCAGAAACATATAAAGGAATATAACATGTAGGTCCATGTGAATCACACATTGTGTTATGAAATAGTCCAAATAGTGTTGAATGAAGCACTTGTTTGGGTTATTGAGGGGCCCTCTGCTGGTGGGACTATTGGACATTTGTGTGGGGGAACCGCATCTGTTTTCATGCCTCCCCAAATGAATCATACCCCCCCATCCAGACTGAAACACACTCATTTAAACACATTTCCAGTGCGATGGCGCAACCCGGACGGAGGAAGAGGAGCGAGGAAGGGGGAGGACGGGGGAGGCGGGGGAGGGGGGGGGGGGGGGCAAAGTTTGCACCCAGATTGGTGTATCGACCCCTGAAAGCCCGCGTGACGCAGCCGACACTCTCCCACTTGAAACCTCCGCGGGGTTTTCCGTGGGGGGGGGTGTTTTTTTTTAAAGACCCGGCGGCTCTGCGCGCGCGTGTTCCTCTCTCCAGAGAGAGCGCCCGCGAACAAACCCGCCGCCATTTACAGCGCCGCCGGGGACAAAAAATCTTATTAGGGGAAATTAAACTCCCCCCTCCACCCAACGCGGAGGATAAAAGGCGCCCTTCCCCGCGCATACCGCCAGCTGAAGCCGAAAGGGAACTCCCTCCTCCACGCTCCAGCCACACCCGGGGATCGCGCCGATAACATGTACTTCTAGAGGCGCGGAAAAGAGCGAGGGGCTGACGCGTGGTTCGATAAAAGATAGCGAAGGGGTCTGAAGTCAGCTGGCCCGGATTTTTTGTTTCAGGGAATGGAGTCTCGCAGGAAATTCCGGACGGACTCGCGCGAGAAACCGAGCGGAAGCCCGGGTGTCTCTTCCACCTCTACCTCCGTCGCACGGGACCTCCTCTTTCGTTTTTCGAATTTTTTTCGTCACACCACGCAGCACGTTAGAGAGTAGAGAAACCGGCTCTCTCTTCGGGGGGGGGGTTCTCTCAGCGAGACCCTCATCAATCCTCCTTTTCCGCGACACCCCCATTAACACTCGCTCTCATTGTCTTAGGCGCTTTTAAATTGTTTCTGTGGAGCCAAAACTTATTCTCGTTTCGTAAAACGCCCCCGTGA